AGTCCTTTTGGCCAGGTGCGACCTTGCTCAAGACGGCCAGGATTTATTTTGTTATCGGGGTTCATTTACATCAAGGCTCATGCACGACAAGAACCTTCGCAGATGGTCGTTATTGTTGTTTTAGCCATATGCCATTAGCTTTCTAGAGTGCCTTTTGAATAATGAACAATATGGATAGATACAAGTCACGAGGGCTCGTTCATGATCGCTGCAGTTCTTGTGGTGCCATCTTTGTCCCTCGGGTATCATTAGCATATATTTAGTGTTGCTGTTACGCCACGTGTTCCACTGGGCTTCATCAGGGTAGTAGAATTATTCAAAACGTTTTTTATTTCATTTGGTATTTGCCCTTGTTCCAGTTTTGATGATACGTCTAATAGGTGTCTTTGGGTATCTCATCCTGCGTTTGGATACCAAAGTTAACTCAAGTAAATATGGCACAAGATACTGGACGGATACTTTCCATTACCTTTTCAGAGCACAGGCGACGTAACAGGGAAAGCTGGGTCAAGTCTCTATATTATATGCTTTTGTGTTACATCTGTTGCGAAATCTGCAGTATGCCGTTTTCCGTATACGATCTGTTGCAAGTAGTATGATGTCCCGTTTTAATGCTTTTATTCTCCGCCTTCGGTGTCATGTTGTCCCTAGTGTGACCTTTCTGTTTCTCACCGTATCTGCTGCTTTATTTGCTGCTGTTCCTCTTCATTCCTGCTTTGTACATGAGTATTGCTTGATGTGCTCCTACACCTTGGCGTTTTACCCGTCTGTTTCCACATCTTGGCTCTGTTAGTCTTATTGCTGCGCCGTTCGAAGACGTAGCCGTGTTTTCCTACTTCACGCGCCCTTTGGCATTTTCTTGCCCCGCCTTGTCGAGCGGGGCGTGCCGTGTCACCCTGGGATGCGGGATGCTGGTCGGCAAGGAAGTTTCTCAAAGGGTCTGATGACCCGTCCTTCGCACTGGCTACTTTTTGTGCAGGATCTCTGTGCGACCTTCCTAACACCGTAAACACGCTCCGGTTTTCCGTGGGAGAGATGCGGTAGGCGAAGCTCATCTCGCGAGGTAAAGAAATGGGAATCCCTTGTCTCTTGGTCCAGGATAAGCAGCCCTTAGTTTGTGTCGCAATTCACAGGAACGTCGACTGCCCTTGGCGAGATTGCGAGCAGAAGGTAACGCGGCATGGTGGCTGCGGCTGGCTCATTTGGAACGTCCTGTTTGACCAGTCTTGTACAGCCCGGCCTGCCCCTCGCGTGTTTCTGTATCGGCTGTTGTTGCTGTTGTTGTTGTTGCTGATATTATTATCATTGTTGTTATTGTTATTATCATTATCATATCATTAGTACTATGATTTTTGTTATCATCAACATCTTCATCACCACCACCACCATCATCATCCTCACCAGTATCATCATCCTCACCATCAGTATCATCATCTCCATTATCATCATCAACATCAATATCATCATTATCATAGTCACCACCATTATCATTATCATCATCATCATCAACATCAGCATCATCACCGCCATCTTCATTATGATCACCATCACCGCCATCATCATTATGATGATCATCACCACCGCCAACATCACCACCATTATGATAATCATCACCACCATCATCATTATAATCACCATCACTGCCATCATCATTATGATCATCACTGCCATCATCATTATGATCATCACTGCCATCATCATTATGATCATCACCACCATTATGATTATCATCATCACTACCATCATCATCATTATGATCCTCACCACCATTATGATTATCATCACTACCATGATCATTATGATAATCATCACAATCATCATTATGATCATCACCACCATCGTCATTATGATCATCACCACCACCATCGTCATTATGATCATTACCATCATTATCATCTCCATCATCATTATCATCATCACCACCACC